AAAAAAAAAAAAAAAAAAAAAAAAAAAAAAAACACGAGGGAGCCAACTCCTTAGACTGTAAGTCCAGGACAGGGGGTGAGGGAATTAGAAAGGAATGAAGTAGGATTTGAGCTGGATGACAAAGGCTGGGTGGATTTAGACAGGCAGAGGGGTAAGGAGGGCATTTCAGGCACAGGGAACAGCATGGACAAAGGTGTTGAAGACCCTGAACTCGACTTTTCCAAAAATCAGTCCTGCAGAAGGAAGGAGCCCAAGTCCCCCGGGGCTGGTAGGGGCACCTGGTGTCAGCTGGAGGAGTGATCTCCCTGGTGCCTTTTTTTTTAGAAATTTATTTATTTATTTATTTGTTTTTGGCTGCGTTGGGTCTTCATTGCTGCACACGGGCTTTCTCTAGTTGCGGCGAGCGGGCGCTACTCTTCGTTGCGGTGCGCAGGCTTCTTGTGGTGGCCTCTCTTGTTGCAGAGCACGGGCTCTAAGCACGCGGGCTTCAATAGTTGTGGCATGTGGGCTCAGTAGTTGTGGCGCATGGGCTTAGTTGCTCTGCGGCATCTTGGTGCCTTTTCTGTTCACTCCTCAGTGATAGAGGAAGGCGGTGTCAAAATGAAGCTGACTGTCATCGACACGCCAGGCTTTGGAGACCAGATCAACAATGAAAACTGGTATGTCTGCCTGTGAGATTTCCACCCTAAAGACTCTGCAAGGCAGATACTGAAGGTGGCGCAGATTCACTCACACTGAGAACCGTCTGCGCCCTCCCTGCTGAGGGGTTAAGTGGGAAGGCTTGCTGAAAGAGCGGAGGGGCTTTGTTAGGAGGCGAGGGAAGAGGTCCACATGGGGTCCAGGCATGGGGAAGGAGGGGGATAGTACAGAGGGAATGTCAGCCGAGGGATTGCCTGGAGATGGGAGTGGATCTGTCAGAATAGGCAGGAGAGGCAGAGCAAGGGGAACTGGGGTGCAAATCCAGGCTGACCTGAAGGCTGTGGCAGGGAGCTTGGCCTGAGAGCCAGATGTTGTAGCCCTGGACAAAGAGGATGGGTGGAAAACAGGAGGAAGGGGAGTTTCCATGGAGAACCTTTGCCTCTGGGAATCCACAGAGCAAAGCTGCAGTCAGCGTCCAGCCAAGAAGGGGTGAAATACACTCTGCCCAGACATAGACAGAAGGGTCGACTGTGGGAAAAAAGCACAACGTAAGAGCTGTGAGTTGGGTTTCATTCACTGTCTCGCTGAGGACTGTAGCCCGGGAGACAGACTCTCAGATGGTTCTGAGGACCTGCTCTGAAGAGGTGGACGAGAGGCAATACATGTGTGATTTCTGGCTGGGGGATACGGAGAGTCAAGCAAACATCTCAGCAAAAGGCTCGTCACGAGGATCAGATATCTCAGTTAAGATTTTAGTGTTTTTCTAAGTAGGGGAAGGTGCAAGGATTTGGGTCCATAAACTTTTTTTTTTTTCTGAAATAGAACTATCTAAGGGCCTGTTTTCTCTGTAAGTGCAGAGAAGCCTTATCCTGTTATTTGTCCTGAATTCCTTTCAGTGTATATTGTAGGTCAGCGACTGCAGTGACTAATGACTTAATCCTTGTAGAACCAGATGGCAAGTGACATTCCCCACTTTACAGAAGGTTCCAGGCAGAAGTTTGCTCCCAGACAGGGATGGTGACAGTTGTGCCTCTATGAGGGAGCTGGGGTCTGCCCCAGACAGACAGGACCACTCAGCAGCACACCTAGGAACTGGCTGTATTGATCTTAGAGAAGTGGCCGGTTGTCTTCTTTTCTGGCTATACACACACTTCTGGACAGAGAAGGGTTATTGTTCATTGTTATCAATGAATTGTTGCCATGGCTGAGTACTTTCTACGTGCCGTTGCTCTGTTGAGTACTATACCTGTTCTTTCTGAATCTTCTATGAATCTCTCCAGGCACCTATTGTTACTCTCTTTTTACTTATGAGAAAACAGCTTCAGAGAGGGGCAGAGATTTCCCCAGAGCTGCCCAGCTAATAAGTAATGGATGTGGGGAAAGTGTGTGCTGCTGTCGGGAGTGGGATGGGGTTCTGCAGGGTCCCTTAGCCCAGTCAGAGAGCTAGGTCCCCAGGGGAGCTCTGCCCTTGATCACAGGGAAAGCCATCCATGGGATCCCGAGGGAGAATAGTCAGCAGGTAACCTAGACCCACCAGGGGAGGTAGGGAATGAGATGGATGAGGGGGCTGCTACCTGACCATGTCTGAGGTGAGCTCCCAGGTCCTATCCTCCTGGGACATCCGTCTGCTTTCTTCCCACCCCCCAGCTGGGAGCCCATTGAGAAATACATCAATGAACAATATGAGAAATTCTTGAAGGAGGAGGTGAACATAGCCAGGAAGAAACGCATCCCTGACACTCGTGTCCACTGCTGCCTCTATTTCATCTCCCCGACGGGACACTCGTATGTACCAGTCCCACCCCCATTGCTGGGCCCGGCTTTAGTTTGCATCATCTGTGCCCAACCTGTAGTGGGTAACCGTTACCTGGACTCAGCTGGGGAGGGCCATATGGGCCCCAGTATAGTCACGGTCCGGTGATTCCCCAGAGTTTGTTGCCAGGAGAGTGAAGCTGACCAACATCAGCCCCTACGCTGCCCATTGGTGTTCTGGCACCATAGCACAACTGTGCCGGCAGACAGAAGTTGGTTTATGTGCCCAAAATGCTCCTCATTTGTGCAAGAGATACCTGCTTTGCACAAGCCTGGGGTCGGGGGCAGTAAGAAGGGTGAAATGGGGAGGGGCTGGGCTACTGGATTGGGGCTGGTGTTTGTTGGGGGAGGTACCCAGCTGTAGGCATTTGGAGGGCGGCCAGCCCAGCATGAGGAGCCAGGTGTCTAGAGATGAAGACTGGCAATAAGCAGGGCATGCTGGGAACTCAGGTTGTTGAGTGTCAGGCGGGGCTACATGATAGGGAGTACCAGGAGAGAATGGAGCAATCCAAGTAGGTGAGCAGAGGGCGGGTGTCTCGTAATTTATCACTAAGCCCAGCTTAGTTCAATTCTTGAGAAGATGGCACAAGCAAGGCAGGCCTCCAATTTTGGAGGAATCAGATATTCAGCAGGTTTTCAATGGAGCAGCTCAGGAACTCAACAAAAAGTTTGCGTTCTCCCTCCCTAGAACCTGGACCCAAGGTCAGAGCAAGCCAGCAGATGGCCTGACTGAATGAGTCCCCTAGACTGCAAACTAGAGCCAGATTGGGGCCCCAGAGTCCAGAGGAAGCTGGCTCCGCAGATGGGGGAGGGGTCAGGCCCCCAGATGGAGCCCTGCAAGACTAACTGGGGGCTGGGAGGAGGCCTGTCAAAAAGTGCTGTCTTGTAGGCAGAACAGACACACACATGTAACCGTGACACAAGGACATTTGGGTAGGGACAGCAGTCAACAGCTGTTGCCAGGAGAAAGAAATCTCAGGTCAGGAAAGATGTCATGAAGGCGTGGTTTGAGTGGGGCTTAAAGAAGGCAGGATTTGCATGGGAACCAAGGAAGAGAAAGAGGTGGTGGACCGTGTGTAGGTGGAGAGTCGGGGTCTCTTCTGCACGTTGAGATGGTGGATGTGTGTCGGATAGGAAAGGGAGCGGCCTCTTGGCCTCAGCCAGTTCCCAGCCCAGTCCTCCTGTCGCAAGGGTGCCCCTGGAATGGTGGCAGTGGCTGAGTGGGGGAGGGCACGGCGGCTCTGACACCCCACCTTCTCTGGGCCCCAGCTTGCGACCTCTCGATCTGGAGTTCATGAAACACCTCAGCAAAGTTGTGAACATCATCCCTGTCATCGCTAAGGCTGACACCATGACCCTGGAGGAGAAGTCTGAATTCAAGCAAAGGGTGAGGAGGCCCCTCCTCCTCTTCCTGTCCCCATTCTTGCCTCCCCTCTTCTGGCCCAAGCCCTCTCCTGTCCTTCATTATTATATCCACCCTCTACCCCGCTTCCCACCCAGCCCCTACTCAACCGTCAAAGAGGCTGGGCTGGTGGTATCTGGGGACCAACAGTGAAGAGAGAAGTTAGTGCAGCTCCAGCCTTCTTGCTGCCCTCCAAACTTACCTGCAAAGACCTCTGAACACATAAATCACCATGAGCATGAGAAACCACTCCTCACTGTTAGGCTGCTTGAAGGACTAATTAATCGACTGCCTGCTAGTCCTTAGTGTTATTTTCCATAAGCTCTATTGTGTGTCGGACACACAGGTGACGGGGTTGGGGAGATGCAGAAGTATAAAGACACTTGCTGCCTTTAAGAAACTTACAATCAAGTAGATTACTGAAAAGATACTGGGTGGCTTCCTGGAGGAGGAGACGTCAGCCGAGCTTTGAAAGAGGATAAACAGAGAGGCTGGGGGTGGGGGCGATGCACCTCTCTTCCCTGCAAACAGGAATATAACAAGTATGGCATGAGCACTGCCCATGTGGAATCTGTTCCCAGCTGTACTGCTTGTCTGAATCCTAATCTTACCCTAAGATAAACAAGCTAGACCCCCAGACTCTTCCTCATCGCAGGCTGGGGTGGGCTATGGTAATTGTAGGGTTGGGGCTCCCATACGTTCAGGATCCTCCTGCTGCCCAGGGCCTCAGAGTTCAGAGGTAACTGGATTATCAAAGACTGCATTCATCCCTCTGACTTGCACACACTTGCACATGCATGCACACACACACATAGCCCTCTCTCCCCTTACTATGCTTCTCTAACCCACCTCTAGGTTCGAAAGGAGCTTGAAGTAAATGGCATTGAATTCTACCCCCAGAAGGAATTTGATGAGGATTTGGAGGACAAGACAGAGAATGACAAAATCCGGGTAGGTGCCTGGGACTCTGTTCATCACACGGTTGCCCGCCTTAGTCCCCCTGGGATGTGGATCATGTACCACTTCTGCTTTGCAACCTGCTTTTCCCTTTCCATACTCCCTGCCCCACCTTGCCCGACCCAGACCAGAAGTGTCAGGGGAGAGGTTGAGGACTTGGGGCGCTGGCCAGGACTGTGAACCCTGCACCCAGGAAGCCAGTGCTCCGTCCATCCCCAGACCACACGAAAGCCTCTCGTTCCCCCACGGGGCCAAGTGAAACCAAGGTATGGGGTGATGGAAGGGCACAGGCAGGAAAAGCTTCAGCCTGAGGTCCAAAGTATCTATACTCTATCAGAGCTCTGCTTGTCAGTTTCCCCTTCTATAAAATTCAGAGGCTTATAGGCTCTTTTTTTTTTTTTTTTTTCCCTTAGAAGAACCCTTAAAAAAATTAAATGTCAGACAGATTCCAATGTGTAAAACACAAAAACAGAGCTGCTTTGGCTAAGTGACACAGGCACAGCCCTACCTTCTGAGCAGCCCCTGGGGTATTTCCTGGGAATATTTTTTTTTTCTGGCTGCGTTGGGTCTTCGTTGCTGCGCACGGGCTTTCTCTAGTTGTGGCGAGCGGGGGCTACTCTTTGTTGCCATGCGCCGGCTTCTCATTGCGGTGGCTTCTCTTGTTGCAGAGCACGGGCTCTAGGCACGTGGGCTTCAGTAGCTGTGGTGCGCGGGCTCTAGGGGCACACGGGCCTAGCTGCTCTGCGGCATGTGGGATCCTGCCGGACCAGTGATCAAACCCACGTCCCCTGCATTGGCAGTCGGATTCTTAACCACTGCACCACCAGGGAAGTCCCTCTCCTGGGAATCTTAAGGCTTCATGAAACCTGGCTTGGAAACCACTGACCTATGTGATTTCTAAGATCCCTCTCAATTCTAAACTTCTACTATTCCGTGATTCTGCATCAGAATCCTGAGTTCTTTTTCCATTAACCACTGTAACCTGGGACAAATCACTCATTTGCTTTGGTCTTGAGTCTCCTTTTTCATCAAGTGTGGTAACCTGGTAGAAGCCCCTTACCTGATGTAGCTGAGACAGGCAGTTGGTCAGTTAATTGAAAAAATCAATTGAAGTGAAGAAATTATTTTAAAAATGAAACATATTTATCTTAAATGTTTTAAAATACATGTTTTAATATAAATCTTAAGTGTTTTAATACATTCATTAAACATTCTTTTCATAGAGAGACAAGCCCTCTTCTTTGAAGGTAAGTCCGCTCTGAATGCAAAAGCAACTCACCTTTATCAAATCTTTCTGAAACATTCAACTTAATTTTCAGAGAAACAACTCTCCACACTGATATGTCCTCAGCTTATATAATAGTTAATTTATCCAATTGCAACAACAAGTACACACCAGGCAAAAAGATTTGGGAACAGATACCTGGTGGAGCAGAGGGGCCTACGCACATCAGAAAGCAGCCTTTGAGCTCTGGAAGGTCAGCGGGTGTGGGCCTCTGCCAGTGGGGGAGACAGTGTAAAGCTTCAGCTACTTTGGCAGTCAGTCGTGTAGATGTCGTTTAAGAGGTCTGTCTTTCCTGGCTATCTCACAGGGTTGTTCCAAATCAAACCAAACCTGATAAAGTGCTGAAGAGCATGAAGCATTCTCCAGTTGTAGGGAAGCTGACTTACTGAGGTTAACCAGCTAGGCAGGGGAGCAATCGGGGTTGGACCCAGGCCTTCGGACTCCCAGTCCAGTGCTCTTTTTAAGAGACAAGAGCCTTGCCCTTGCCATCAATGGGATCACTGAATGAGCTTCAGAAATGTGCAGTTCAAGGCTAGAGGCCCGGGACCGTACTCCATCCTGCCCTTGGAGGCCCAGATGGTAGGAGGATGACATGTACGTGTGTCTGGTTTGTCAGCAGGAGAGCATGCCTTTCGCTGTGGTGGGAAGTGACAAGGAGTACCAAGTGAATGGCAAGCGGGTCCTCGGCAGAAAAACTCCCTGGGGGATCATTGAAGGTAATTCAGTGCATCTTCTTGAAGAACTGGCCGCTGGTCAATTTTTCTTATTTATTAAGCATCTTATAGGTCAAGGCACAGTCCTAGGATGTAAGATATGAAATGAATGTCAGCCAGACCCTGCCGTAAGGGGCTTACAGTCTAATTGGGAAGATGAGGCTCACAGGCAGGAAGCAATAAAAGATGGATTTAGCACCTGACCGGGAGGCACTAGCTCGAGGGTCAAAGGAGTTCAGAACATGGAGAGATTAATAAGGATGGGAAAAACCAGAGAAAGGTTTTCACATGAAAGGAGGCATGATCAGAAAAACTCCTGAAGGGTTGTTCAGATGTTGCCATTTTCATTTTATTAGGAACGGTGTGACCTTGAGAAGGTCACAATGATTCTGAAAGTTCTCAGAGAATCGCTTCAGTTGATCACATTCATTATGACACCCCTCGGAGGGGAGCAGGGTAGGCGTGGCTGTTCTCAGAACATCCGTGCTGAGGCACTTGAGTCTCAGACAGGTTAAGTGTCCTGTCCAAGATCACATGACTTGTTAGTGGTGAAACTTGGATTTTAGACCCAGATATTTTGATTCCAAAACCAAGTTCATCCCGTTTTATCGTGTTGTCTCTCATTTTTCTATGACCCTTTGTTGGGATTTTTTTTAAAAATAGCATTTTCTCATCATCTGCCTTGAATTATGAGAATATCTGTCCTACCCATTAGATTGTGAGACAGGACGGTTTGTGGCTTAATCCTCTTCTGCTTCCACAGTCTTTGGCAAGTGATTTGCAAATAGTAGGCACTCAGTCTATGTTGAATTAAATTTATGAAGCCATCATGACCTTTTTAAGATGGCGCAGTTATTTTCTATGTGTGTTACTGTCTTCCAATCAGATTATAAGCTCCTTAAAGATAGGAATTGTGTCTTAGGCCTTTGGCAGGTTTCTTAGACTCCCTGTGTATTAGTTTCCTTTTCTATAAAATGGGAAATATAATAGTGCTTACTCCACAGAGTCTAGAGTAGTATTGTGCCCCTGGAGCTACTTAATGAATGCTTGTTCAATGAGTAAAATCCAATGCACTGAAGTGCCAAGATGAGCACACCTCTGAAAGGGTGACCACAGCCTGACCCGTGGCTCCCTCCTAAATGCCTCCACGACCTTAACAGAAATTCACCTGCTGGTGTTGCAGCATTAGTGAAATGACCACCTGTTTTTTTTGTTGTTGTTGTTCACAGTGGAAAACCTCAACCACTGTGAGTTTGCCTTGCTTCGAGACTTTGTCATCAGGTAAGATGCACCCCTCCCGTCAGATGGCAGCTTTAGTTATTTGGGGTCTGGAGGCCATCTGTTCAGATCCACTTCCTCAGTCCCCAGGTCTCTCTGACAGAGCTTTCTGCTCCAGTCACAGCTCGCGTCTCGAAGGAAAAGGGGCTCAAGAGGTATCATTGGCTCTCTGGAGTGGGTCCAGGCCATGGACGCGATGTGTGGACCTGAGACGTGGGTCCCCTCTTCCTCCTCCCGCCGCTGATCACATCCCTCTCTCTTCTCACCCTGTGTCCTTCAGGACCCACCTCCAGGACCTCAAGGAAGTGACACACAACATCCACTATGAGACCTACAGGGCCAAGCGGCTCAATGACAATGGAGGCCTCCCTCCGGTGAGCGTGGACACAGAGGAAAGCCACGACAGTAACCCATGACGACCCTTTCTCTGTATCATCACACATACCCACTTCTCCACGCACACACATCCCCGAACCACCACCAACCACCTTCTTCCTTTTTCTCCTGTCCCACAGGCCTATCTGGTAATTGTGGAGCATCTTGTCTACAGTGTGTGTGTGTGTGAGATTGTGTGTGTGTGTGTGTGTGCGCCTCTGCAGGGGTGAGGTATTTTTACTGCCCTTGTAAGTTTGGTTCCTCCATGGCTGTCCATTATCTGTCTCCTTTCCTTGTGTCCCAGAACAAAGCCGTGTGCCTCACTCAAGTGGTCTGGGGGAGGTTTCATTTAAAAATGATGGGAGCAGGTGAGCCACGGGTAACGCTTTCTTACCTCTGAAACCCACCTGCAAACAGGGACTGCAGAGATTCTCCAAGGACAGTCCGTGGAGCTAGACCTGGGAGGGGACGGGGAGTTGATGACTTAACCCTCCCTGTAAGTCCGGGGTGGTCTGGGGTAAGGCTAGGACTACTTGGGAAAAGAAAGGTCAGGGAAGAGCAGAGCAGTAGGCCAGAGCTGGGCTCCTGCAGAAGGAGGTAGGACCTAGCAGTGGAGGAGAGAGCTCCACCCTTTGGTCCGTGTCGCGTTCACTGTCCAAAAGCTACTACCTGTCACCACCAAAGACTGCTGCTTTCCGCGCTCCCCTTGCCTCGCTCCGCTCAGCTTCCACTTTCTCTCTTTCCCCCGCTTTCCGTCCTTCCTTCATTCTGCCCCCTCTGACTTTTCACGTTAGCCTCATTTCTATATTTAGGATTTATGACCCGTCTACTTCCCAAAACGACTTTAGGCCACTTAACATAAAATCATCGCTTAAATCACAGGACAGTACAAACTGAGATTTCAAGAGAAATCGGATTTATAGAGAGGCATGGGAAAGAAAGTTTCTGCAGTCGAGCGCTGAAAATGGCCCCGAGCTTGTGGGCAGCCCAGCAAAAGAGGAGACACAGCGAGTTGTGCGGTGCCCGCTGCTTCAAGAATCACGCGTGCTGGTCAAGTGAGACAACCTGTTTTAGGCATTAGGTTCTAGAAGAACTGAGTCTAAAGTATCAAGAACAATAGACAGCATTTGTCTTTCTTGGTAGTTTGGCAATTTTAAACCACACCTCCCTTCTCTCCATCAGGATTCTTCCTCCTTAAAGCTGGCTGCTGTTTCTCTCTTCTTCTTGTGTATACTTGACCCCCCGCCCTTTACTTCTCTTCTATTCTCTCTCTGTCTCGCTGTCTCTCTCATGTTGAAGCTGATTGCATTTTTGTCTGTCTTTCTCTGCTTTTCCCCAGTTCCTCTTCCTGACCCCTGTAGACATTCCCAGCGATACCCACAATCATACATGTAGCCTTTTCTTGCCTTTCCCTTCAGCCCTGTATTTATTAATGCATATATTTCCCCTGTTGTTTTACAAACAAGTTACTCTTTCTCCTTTAGTCTGTAAGGTGGCTGAAATTTGGGGCTGGGGAAACAGTTTAGCCTTAGGCAAGGGAAGACAAGTGATACAGTTTACAGTAACCTCTTACAACCTCCTGTTCCATCTCTTGGTCTAACCCTAGGTGTTTTACTGGTCCCCTGCAGATCCCAGCGTTTATAGTCCCTTATCACTCAGGTGCTAGGAGAACACATAGACTTAAGACCAAGATTCAGTGGGCCAGGAGAAAGAGGCAGGTGATCTGTTGCCAGTGGCCCAAAACTCATGGTCACAATCTTTCCTGGAAGCTCCTTACCAATCCAACGCACATCTTCCCTCACCCACAAAGTTATTCGAGGCAGGATAGAATAGCGGCAGGGTCAGCCCAGAGGTTGCTACATTTCAACAGAAGAGGGATCCCTGGCTCATATGGAGACGTGGGACTAGACACCTCGGCCTAGCGGGGAAGGTCTAGGGGTGAGGGGGGAGCATTGGAGAGGCTGAGTAGGAGACTGATGCTTGGCACCCCTAAATCATGATCTCAGCCTCCCTGGAGAAGCTGTTTTATATGTCTGCTGCCAGCTGCGGGTCTCCACACCCTCAACCATTCTCAACCCCCCTGCAGGGAGAAGGCCTCCTGGGCATTGTCCTTCCACCTGTGCCAGCCACCCCCTGCCCCACTGCAGAATGAAGGCCATTTCAAGCGCCGCTCCTCCCTCCATTCCTCTCAGCTGTTATTGCTGCAGGGCCACGCCCTTTTTAGTGCTGTGCGTGTCCAGCCAGCACCACGGCCCCTCTCAGCCCTCAGCCGGTGGGAGGGGCCGGCTGCCCCTTTAGGACAGTTGCTTCTTCCATTCATCCAAACCACCCCTCTCCTCCCAGTGGAATGGAGTTCTCGCCAGCACTGCCCTCCATCATCTGTGTCAGCTGGTCCTAGCCCATCTGTAGGGTGAAAGAGCTCACCAAGAGCTCCTTCTGCCCTTGCAAACCCATACCGGCTACTTGTAACCATCTCCAAGGGAAATGGCATTGTTCCCTGTCCATTCATCTGCATGAGCTACTCTTGGCTTCCTTAAAGGGTCAAGAAAGCAACTTTTCTGCTTGTCGGATTTGTTGACGTCAGCTGTGTGAGCCCCAAGGTGGGACGAGGGTGCCTCCTTCATTGCTCAAAGCTTATTTATAAGGATGGGTCACTACAGATCTGGGGGAGCAAGGGCTAGGATCACTTTTTAAAAAAATCACTGCTTGTGGCTGGCCCGGAGGGCAGTCACACACCCTCCCTGCCCCATAATGCAGCCACTTAGGGAGTGTGGTTTTCCTGAGACATTCCTGGAGTTGACTTCCTTATCCTCAAACTTTAAATAAGAACTAAATGCACACACAAAACTCCAGAAAGTCACAGGATGTGAACTCTAGGAGGAAAAAAGCACCCTTCTGTCCACTTAGCAATAAGGGGGAATCTCTTCCCACCCACCCTGACTACTCCACCCCACCCCCTCCCCCACTCCGTTAACGTGAGTAATGAATCAGCCTGGCCACAGTTGGTCACTGTAGGCTAGTGGAAAATCCCCAGTGGAGGGCACAGCCCCGCATCAGATGCACGAATGTTTGCGAATGTCGGCTGCCACCGCCCCACACACTATGTCTTTATGGAATACCCCTTGCCCACTGCCCCACCATTTCCACCTGGACAGAACTTGCTCAAAGGCTGGTGACTTGTGGGCCATTCATCTACAACCAAGTCCTGATGGAGCAAGAGGCCCAAGCCTAGGGGATGCAAGAACGACCCATTTCTTAAATGTTACCAGTCCCAGCCAACCTTTTGGTGACATTATGGTTAATTTTCCCAATTAAAAGTAAGCAAACAAACTGGTTGTGTAAATGTTGCTAGACTTTATGTGTTGTACAACTAAACATTGCTGTTTGAACAATAACTGAACTGTGTTTTATTTTTGCTCCTCAATCCTTGGCCAAATTAGCTATTACATCATCTCACCCATGTGTGGAGGATGAGACAGGGACCATCTTGGTAAGAAGTAGACACAGAAATTAGAGATGGAAAAGTTTTTGTGAGGTCAGTTCATCTTCAGTGGGCATGAAGGTGGACCCCCATCATTATTCCCTGGAGTTTTGTATCCAAAATGAGTGACGGAGCTATCACACTTTACCTTGAGGGATGCTATGCTCTGCATAGCCTGTCTCCTCTAATGGAAACAATGTTTATTTTCATCCAGTTAATTTCCTAGCTTTCACCCTCCTTTTTCCAGAAGGCATAAAACCAAATCTAGGAAAGGAGTGGACCTGTCTTGCCTAGAGACCTGCCTTTTTTTTTTTTTTGCGGTACGCGGGCATCTCACCGTTGTGGCCTCTCCCGCCGCGGAGCACAGGCTCCGGACGTGCAGGCCCAGCGGCCGCGGCTCACGGGCCCAGCCGCTCCGCGGCACGCGGGATCCTCCCAGACCGGGGCATGAACCCGTGTCCCCTGCATCGGCAGGCGGACTCCCAACCACTGCGCCACCAGGGAAGCCCGAGACCTGCCTTTTTTGCAGTGAAGACTTTTAAGAGCTAAACTTAAAGCACTAGCTTGTATTGTCTTTTTCAAACTTAAACCAGTCCTACCTATGAGCTTCACACTGTCTTCTATAGCCAGCAAATAACACAACTCTACCTGTATATTATCTCTCTGAATTTGAATGTGACAATCATGTGCAACTGTGTTTGGGTCCTCAACATTCTGTAGGGTGAGCACAAGGTATAGATGAATGGTGGGGAGTCAAGACTAGAGGAAGAGAGGTCAGCAGGCCCTTGGAGTCATTCAAGTAAAATGATGACTGGAACTAGAACGGCAAGGCCACACCAAGATGGAGGGAAGTGAGAAGATTTGAGTGACAGAGCAGTGTGGGAATCATAAAATATCACAGCTGAAAGGAACCTAAGAGTTCTTCTAGTTCTTCCTTCAAACAGATATGGAAACAAGTCTAGAAAGCATAATCGTCTTGCCCAAGGTTGTACAACACTTAGTTACCAAGGCAGACCAGGGCCTAGACCTCGGTGCTTGTTCCCCTGCTTCACGCCATTCCTATTGTAGTCATGCTTTAAAAGTATATATATATCTGGTGGTCCAGTGGTTAAGAATCCACATTCCCAATGCTGGGGACACGGGTTCGATACCTGGTCGTGGGAAGATCTTGCATTATGCTTGGTGCACCCTAAAAAAAAGATTTAAAAAAATACATATATTTCTGAAATCAGCATACATCTTACAACTGATGTCCGTTTATTTGGCAACTTTTTTTCCTTCAAGTTACACTTTAAAATGGTGCATCTTACAACTGACAACATCTTAAATTTGATGAAATATGGTAGGTGGTCCAGAAGATGTTAACATCCTTCTGTTTGAAGCCCTCTGGTGCTATTGGTGAAGTTTAAAGGAAATAAGAATACATACAACATTTTAGTCTTAAAAGCAATTCTGGTATAACGTATCCCACCTGATCTTCACAGTCTTGCTTTGGAGGAGGCAGGGCAGGTATGATGCGTGCCACAGAGACAAAAGGCTCTCTCCATCTTGGAGCTGGAACAAACTCACACAGGGTCGAAATTCCCCATTTGATTTCCTGACCCAGCTCACGCACCCTTTCCTGGATGCTGCCTCACAAGAAATCGGCTCTGATCCCAGGCTTTCTTTGGTGGAAGAAAGTTCTGCTCGCCTTAGGAGAGGTGAGGAATCATTCCGGACCCTTTCTCCAAAGGGCAACAGCTTCCTGACTCAGGCCAGGGAGGGCGTAGGAAAATTCCACTTTTGATTCCCAACAGGACCAATTCAAGTTCATAGTCTGCCAGCCACATAGGGGCCAAGACGGCGAATCGCTGTCGAGGAGGCCACTCATCACTCATTCCTCTGCGCTCCGGGGGTGGAGTCAACTCCCTCGACCCTCCCCTTTCCCCATCAGGGCTGTCTCGACCTTGACTCCGCCTGGCCCTCTGACCAAGGCCCTTCACGTGACCAGCCGCCTCACTCCCTTACGCCATAATCTCCGCCCTCCCCTTCAGAGCCCCACCCAACAGCTTGGCGCAGGCCCCGCCCCTTCCCATCTGAGGGGCGGCAGGAGCGGCCCTGGGGCAGGATGGCTGTGAACCAGAGCCACACCGAGAACCGTCGCGGTGCCCTCATCCCCTTCGGCGAAAGGTGCGTGAAAGGAAGCCTGCGGAGCTGTCAGAGGAGGCAGCAGATGCACGGGGAACCGGCGGCTCGCAAACTCTAAGCGCATCAGAAACTTTCCCGCCTTTTCCGCGTACGCAGCGGCGTGGCTCCGCCCCGACGCTACGGCGCGTTCTGCCTCGCAGGTGTTCGGAATGTGAAGGCCGGAGCGGGGGGCCGTCGCACGTGTGAAGGGCGCGTCCTGCCTTAGAAGAAAGGTGGAAGTGCAGTGGTGGGAGTGGGGAGTTGCACCGACCCTCCGGGTCGCTTGCGGCTGCTGTTAGTGCGCTACCTTTGTAGAGTGACGGGAACAAGGTCCCAGGCTTCTAGGAGGTAGAAAAGGCATGAGTGTCTTTGGAATCTTTCTGGAAGGATCCCGAACTGTCAGGGGCCTCTCCTCACTCTCAGAACTTCGAAAAGCCCTCTCTCGTCTTCGCCCCAACCAAGGAGATGACTGGTCTTACGTTTTTGAAAAGATCAGGACCGGAAGAAGACGCGTCTAGGAAGAATGATGCTCTCTTGCCTCCCATGGCGGCCTTGGGGTTTGCACCGATCGCTCTGTGTGGTGCTAGTGGTGACCACCGCTCGCCCCTCTCCTCTCGCCTCTGTCAGGCTCAGCCCGGAGCCGCCCATTTTCACCTCCCCACCTAACACCTCGACTCTGCCCCACTCCCCTCCTTCATCCCCCGCCCCCATTTTTCCAGAGGCCTGCTCCAGCTCCCCGGCACTTCTTAAAGGTGCTCCTCTCTGCTCCGATTTGCCCTCGTTTTCCTTTGCGCTCGCCTAGCAGTGAGACTCTGAAACCCAGGGCTGTGCTCAGGTGAGGCAGAGCACACCTAGGTGGCTTTGAATGCATCTGTCGGGAAGACCCTTTAAGTCAGTACCAAACGCTGATGTCCAGATCTTTTTTCTATGCTTCCTTCCCCAGAATACTTTCTTGACAGATTTATACGCGCCGACAAGGCGGTAGGTTCTCCCTTGCTCCTGAAGGACCGCTGCTGTTTGTTCAGTTTTGTAGTAGGAGATGATTGCCCAGCATTCTGACCGCGTGCACACTGGCCTAGAGAACGCTGACCTGTGTGCCTGTGGCTCTGTGCCTTGAAGCCACTTCTAATCTGGTGTTTGGGTGTCTTCTCATTCAGGCTACGAGTTTGTCTGTCTGCTTTTCTGTTTGTGTGCTGGAGGCAGGGAATGACGCATGGTTTTAAAAAATTGTAACATATACTGATTTTATGGTCCGTTGATTACCTTTGTGTGCTCTTGAATGGTTAACCATAGCCCAGCACTGTGCAAGGGCTTTATAGTTATAACTGCTCCATCTTCAATAAGGATCAGTACTAGTTTCCTCATTTCACAGGTGGGAAAACTGAAAGAGAAGTAATTTGCTTAAAAATCACATGGCCAGTGCATGTGGGAGAGCTCTGAACTTAGGTACTATGCATTCACTTCTCTACTCTGGCTGCCCCTCTAAAAGGAAGAGGACTGCTTCTCTTCTTTCTTCTCAGCAAAGAAGTCTCTGAAGGTGCTCTGGCTTCCTGGATAAAAACCACTTTAAAGAAATAGCTTGAGAGGGAGAAGATTGGTTATATTTTGACTTCTCTGGACTATTCACAATACACAGTTGAGAAATTCATCACAGCTTGGCTGTGTTGTGTGGAGATTTTTTTCTGATCCCAGCTGAAAAGTCATAAATGTGTGGGCCAGACTCTACTGGTAAAAAGGGAAGACATTGAGTTGTGTTTTTTTTTTTAATCCATATTCAAAAATGTATGCAGGTAAAACCATGTAGGAAAATTGGGGAAATTTTAAAATTACCCCAAATTCCTACATCCAGTGCTTTTAACATTTTGGTATGTATCCTTCTGTATTTTCCCCTGTGGAAATATATACACCTTCCCCTGTCAGACTGCTTTGTAGCTTGTTTTTCTCATTTACCAATGTATTGGGGATGCTTTCCAGTGTCGGTATCTACATCATTATTTTCAATGTCTCGTACTCCAGTATGCATACATATTTGCTCCAGCCCGTATCTGGGACAGTCTGATTTTTTTTTTTTTAAAAAAAGGAGGATATACTCTTTCTTTTCTTTCTTTTTTTTTTTTTGGCTGCGTTGGGTCTTCATTGCCGCACACAGTCTTTCTCTAGTTGTGGCGAGTGGGGGCTACTCTTCGTTGCAGTGCACAGGCTTCTCATTGCGGTGGTTTCTCTTGTTGCGGAGCATGGGCTCTACGCACGGGGGCTTCAGTAGTTGTGGCACGCAGGCTCAGTAGTTGTGGCTCGCGGGCTGCAGAATGCAGGTTCAGTAGTTGTGGTGCATGGGCTTGGTTGTTCCACAGCATGTGGGATCTTCTAGACCAGGGCTGGAACCTGTGTCCCCTGCATTGGCAGGTGGATTCTTAACCAGTGTGCCACCAGGGAAGTCCCAGATAGTCTGATTTTAATTTGTCATTGCTATAAACATTGCTGCAGTGAACTTTTTAAAGATTTATCTTTGCCCACCTGTCAGAATGTTTCTTTCAGATATATTCCTGAAAGTGGAATTGTGGGATCAGAGGACACAGACTTTTTAAAAAATATTAAAAAAATATACTTTTAATATGAAAATTCTTGTCAAAATATTTTAAAATATTAAATATATTTTATATTTAATATATTTATACATAGAAATATATTTATTGCAAAGTTACCCTACAGAATTATATCAAATTACATTCCTTTTAATACTTTGAGTGCCCAATGCCAACACCCTGTGTTAATCTTTGATACTCTGCCAGTCTGATCATGGAATCTGAATAATGAAATCTTTTTTTAAAGCTTAATTGCTAGTGAAATTATTTTTGTCTTATAGTTATTGACTATTTATATGTATTTGGTAAATTTTCTTGGTTCATAAATGTTCTCCATTTTTTTGTTAAGTTGTTCATTTTTTTAATAAATATATTTATTTATGTATTTATTTATTTATTTTTGGCTGTGTTGGGTCTTTGTTGCTGCTCACGGGCTTCCTCTGGTTGTGGCGAGCAGGGGCTACTCTTTGTTGCAGTGTTCAGGCTTCTCATTGCGGTGGCTTCTCTTGTTGCAGAGCACGGGTTCTAGGTGTGTGGCCTTCAGTAGTTGTGGCACGTGGGCTCAGTAGTTGTGGCCCACGGGCTTAGTTCCTCCGCGGCATGTGGGATGTTCTTGGACCAGGGATGGAACTCGTGTCCCCTGCATTGGCAGGCAGATTCTTAACCACTGCGCCACCAGGGAAATCCCAAAGTTGTTCATTTTTGTGTGGTAAAAAGCACATAACAAAATTTACCATCTTAGCCACTAAAAACATAAAAATTGTATATATTTAAGTATACAACATGGTAATTTGATGTAATGTACATAGTGAAATGATTCCTACAGTCAAGTTAATTAACGTGTCATCTCACATAATGATCATTTTTTTACTCTCTTAGCGTATTTCCAGTGTTCAATATAGTATTATTAAGTACAATATAGTCTTCATGCCTATATATTCGATCTCTAGACTTATTCATCCTACTTAACTGTAAATCTGTAACCTTGCTTAACATCTCCCCATTTCCCCCATCCCATCAGCCCCCAATAACCACTGTTCTACTCTCTGCTTCTGTGAATTTGAATTTTTTTTTTTAGATTCCACATGTAGGTGAGATCATATAGTATTTGTCTTTGTCTGGGTTATTTCATTTAGCATAATGTCCTCAAGATTCACCCATGTTGTAACATGTGACAAGATTTCCTTCCTTTTTAAGGCTGAATAATATTCCGTTTTACTCATATAACACATTTTGTTTCTCCATTCATTCATTGATAGACTTTTATGTTGCTTTCACCTCTTGGCTACTATGAATAGTGCTGCTATGAACGTGAGTGTGCAAATATCTCTTTGAGACCCTGCTTTCAATTATTTTCGATATATACCCGGAAGTGGGATTGCTGGATTAGGGAGTAGTTCTATTTTTAATTTTAACTCCATAGTGTTCCATAGTTGTCACACCATTTTACAATCCCACCAAGAGTGCACAAGAGTTCCAATTTATCGACATCCTAGGCAACACTTTTCTTTTTTCAATAGTAACCATCCTAATAGGTGTGAGGTGATATCTCATTCATGGTTTTGATTTGCATTCCTCTGATGATTAGTAATGTTGAGCATCTTTTCATATTTTTTAGCCATTTATATATCATCTTTGGAGAAATGTTTAAGTCCTTTGTCCATTTTTAAATCTTTTTTTTTTTTTTTTTTGGTGTTGTTGAGTTGTAGGAGTTCTTTACATATTCTGGATATTAACCTCTTATGGTTTGCAAATATTTTCCCCCATTCTATAGGTTGACATTTCACTCTGTTGATTGTGTCCTTTGATGCACAGAAGTTTTCAAGTTTGATATAGTCCCATTTGTCTATTTTCGCTTTTGTTGCCTGTGCTTTTGGTGTCATATGCAAGAAATTGTTGCCAAGTCCAGTGTCATGAAAATTTCCACCTATGTTTTCTTCCAGAAGTTTTATAGTGTTAGAGCTTATGTTTGGTTCTTTAATCCATTTTGAGTCGAATTTTTAAGATGGTGTAAGTTAAAGGTCCAGCTTCATTCTTTTGCATGTGGATATCTAGTTTTTCCAACATCATTTGTTGAAGAGACTGTTCTTTCCCCATTGAGTGGTCATGGCACCCTTGTTGAAGATCATTTTACCATAGAAGTGGTGAGAGTGGGCATCCTTTCCTTTTTCCAGATCTTAGAAGAAATGCTTTCATCTCTCACCATTGAGTATGATGTTAGCTGTGGGCTTCTCATAATGGCTTTTATTATTTTGGGGTAGTTTCCTATGATTCCTAGTTTGTTGAGTGTGTTTATCATGAAAGAGTGTAAAATTTTGTCAAATGCTTTTTCTGCATCAATTGAGATGATCATGTGGTTTTTTGTCCTTCATTTTGTCAATGTGGTATATTACATTGATTGATTTTCTTTAAAAAAAAATC